TACTTTAGCACTATTCCTAGTGATACAAGAAATATCTATACTAGCAGGGAACTTTATTAGAATAAAGTAAACTAAATACAGAAATTACACAGAGGTGTTTAAGTCTGTTAATAGTATAAATAAACATATACACAAGAATGTTTTATTTTAGTGTTGTTTGTAGCGGCAATTACACTGGAAACACAGTGAATGCCCATCATGGGGTAATAATAGGCATATGTTGCATAACATTACTGGCGTAACATACAGTCATTTTTAAAGAATAGAATCATATCAAAAGAACAGAGGAGTCAGCTTGAATGGTCAGCAGCCGGCCAAATTTGGAAAATTTAGGATCAAAAAGAATAATGGACTAAATAGTGATAACACATTGAAAAATAATAATTGATAAGCCCATAACATCAAAAAAGAAAAGGGAGGGCAGTAAGTTTTTCTTTATAGAAGAATAATGTAATGACAGCTAAAAAATGACTAAGAAATGATAAAATAAGAAAATTACCATATTACAACACCCCATATAACTGCTGATTTAGGCAAAGGTCCTTAATGAATGCTAGAATCACTAGGTTAAGAGGAGATGTGCTGGGAAATAGGATATTCACATGGTACCAAAGTATTACCCCAAGACTACTTATTAATTACAAACAGAAAAATGTCCTTCACACTGGATATATCTGAAGATTATCACCTTAAGGAAGAAATCAAACTTAGCAGCATTAATAGTGGAATAACCTATTGTGAGTTTCCTAATGTGATGCAATATAAAGTTCATAATATCAACTAAAAAGTACTCTTCCCAGAAACATTTAATGTGATTCTAACCAAGCCTATATAGCTAATTTTTAATTCACAGAAAAGACAGAGGATAAGGAACAAGTAAAAAGAAAAACATCAAAAGAAAATAATCAGGTAAATTTAAGATGGCGGACATTCTACAAGTTAGCTGGGCAAAACTTTTCAAAAGTCAGGCACAAAGCGAGGATTACAATAAAGATACATAACAATCAAATGCAATGAATGAAACTCAACTGGGTCTTGTTTCAGTATAAAATACCTATAAAAGACATTTTTGGA